TTGTGTCAACGAATATTGTATCAAATGCCTTGTTTGGTGTTGGCGTCAAAGTCATTGGACTTTTTATATGTTTTGTGACTTTGGTTATTTGACACTTATGACAATTCTTAACATATTTCGTGATTGTTTTAGTCATGTGTTTCCAGTAATAGTATCTTTTTATTTTATTCAAGGTTCTTGAAATGCCACAATGACCTCCTTCTGCCGGGTCATCATGATATCTTTTTAATATACTTTCAATTGTTTTTGCATCTTTATAATTTATTTGGGTCACCTCATTCAGTAGCGCTACTTTCATTTTAATTAATTTCTTATTGCCCATTTCTTTAAATTCATTTATAGAGACAAATTCGAAAATTTTCTCACTAGGTGCCACTTGTAATTTGTCAATTGAATGCTTATCGGCCACATCATCGAGCCTAGAGAAAAATTGACCTAAGTCAAATTTCCCTTTAACAAACAAATCATTGATTTGTATATATGTTTTAATAGATTTACCCCGTTTGATATAGCATGTCTTGGGTGTAATCTTTAATTTATAGTATTTTCTCACGTCAGTGTTATTAATAGGTACATATATACTGGGCTTATCATATGTATTAGATTGATGCGTTTTAATTGTGTTTTGATTAAGAGAACTTTTGTTTGTCATAGATCTTGTTTGCATTTTGTATAAAGTGTTATTTTTAACATTTATATCTTTTAAATCGTCAATTGTAATGCGTGATAATGCATCCGCAACATAGTTGTCTTTTCCCCTAAGGTACTCTACCACAAAGTCATATTCTTCAAGATCAAGTCTCATTCTAGTTAGTTTTGAGCTAGGGTTTTTCATTGAAAATAGGTAAGATAGTGGCCTATGATCTGATCTTACCAGAAAATTTGTTCCGTAAATGTATGGTTTAAAATATGTTATTGCCCAATGTATGGCGGTTAATTCTTGTTCAATTGTTGACTTATTGCTTTCTCCTTTTGTGAAAGTTCTAGATGCATATGCCACCGGCAATTGTTTTCCCTCATATTCTTGTGTTAGTACAGCACCACATGCGTGTTTGCTTGCGTCAGTAGTTATACAAAATTGTTTGCTGAAATCTGGGTACTGTAACAATGTAGGACTTATCAATGCCTTTTTAAGGTGCCCGAAAGCATTATTACATTCTAGTGTCCACTGAAAAGGTACTCCTTTCTTTGACAATCTAGTGAGATGTCTTGAGTATTCAGAGAAATTTTTTATAAACCTCCTGTAGTAGTTACAGAATGCTACAAATCTTTTCGCACTATCTGCATCTGTAGGTATAGGGTAATTTTTAATTACTGAAAATTTTTTGTCGTCGGGGAGTATGCCTTTGTCAGTGCACTTATGTCCTAAATAAGTCACCTCGCGCATAAAAAATGAACATTTTTCAGGATGTAATTTTAAGTTGTGCTTGCGACATAGTTCAAAAACATCCGATAGGTTTGATAGCATGTGTTTCTCAGAGCAACCCAGGACTACCAGGTCGTCCATATAGAGAAATGCTTGTTCTGGTTTTAAACCGCTAAACGCAATTGTCATCATTCTTTGAAATGAATTAGGGGCAATTTTTAATCCGTATGGGAGTCTAGAAAACCTGTAGGATCCATTATTTGTAGAAAAGGATGTCAGGTCTCGTGAATTTGTTTCTAGTGGTATTTGATGGAATCCTGACATAAGATCCAAACAAGAAAAATATTTAGCTCGACCTAATTGGTCTAGGATGTCATCTATTCTTGGCAGTGGGAATTTATCCTCTATTAATTTTTTGTTAATCTGCCTGTAATCTATTACTAACCTCCATCTTTTTTCAATTGAATTTGGAAGTGATTTTTTCTGAACTAATAAAATAGGACTATTATATTCGGAACATGATGGCTCTATTATTCCATCTTTTAACATTTTTGAGACTTGTCTTTCAATTTCTTCTTTGTGAGTGTGTGGTATACGGTAGTTCTTAATGTATACTGGGTCTGTATCTTTTGTCCTTAACTTTTGTGTGTAAAAATTGTTTGATGTGATTGCTTCTGTTTCTAATCCAAAAATATCGCTGTACCTAGAACATAATTCCGTTAACGTTTTTTCAAATAGTTTTGGAAAATTTTTCTTTAGTGTATCTAAAATTTTATTTTTTCTTTCTGTTTTGTTTTGATCACTTGAAATTATGTTATAGTCAGTGAGATTTTCTGATTGAATTCTGTTTAGTTTTACCGTTACTGGTCTGTCATTTGTGTTAAGAATTCGTATGAATGCATTTTCAGATTTTACCAAGGTACTTGCAATGAATATACCTGTTTGTATTTCTTGATTAGGTATCAGTACTTCTTGAAAAGGAGTAGAAAGTTTCACCCTTCTTATAACTTCTGACATAGCTGGGAGTGTTATGTCATCGTTACAAGTAGTTATAATTGGTATTTCAATGTGCATTTGGAATTTTTCTGGTCTGAGGGTTAGGAAATCTTGATTCTCATTGAATTCAAGTAGACAATTGTAGTTTTTCATAAAGTCCATTCCAATAATGTCATCACACGGTATTGGGAAATCGTTTTGTACTACATGAAACTCGTGTGGTATTAAGTAATTTTTAAACTTTAAATCGAAAAATGTTGTGCCTATTGAATTGATTTTTCCTTGTCCAATGCCTTGTAGTGTTGTAATGTGTTTTTTGTTTATGTGTTTAAGTGTATCTTGGTCATGTTTAATTATGGAAATGTCTGCTCCTGTGTCAACTAGTAGTGTTATGGCGGTGTTAGTGTGAGCAATTCTGACTTGTATGTAAATGCTAAAGTTAAGGTTAAGATTGTATATTTTGTAGTCCGAGTTTATCTTAGGGGAATGTCCGGGTTTTCCGAACTATTGTTGTCTGTTTGGGTCATTCTAATATTCCTTGTATTACCTCGGTAGGTATTTCTGTTTTGACCTCTATTATTATAGTTATTTCCACTATAATTGCTGTTTTGGCCATTGTGGTTTCTTTGAACATTGGTTCTATTTTGAAACCTTCTTCCAAAATTTCTATTGTTTTGGAATCTGTTGCCAAATTGTCTTTGTCGGTAGTGCAAAATGGTATTTTGTTGGCCTGTAGCTTCTGTACAACTTCCAACAAATTTGCTTATTACTTCATTCATGTCAGTAAACTGACCTGCTTCCATAATAAGTTTGACTTTTTCTAATGTGCAATTTTTAGTTATTGCCCTTACGGCTGCTTGTGTCGCATATTTACTTGCCAAATTTAAGTTTATGCCGTCATTTATATATGCATTTTCTAATGATTTTGTTAGTGTTTCTATTTCATTGCAGTAATTTGTAGCAGTTTTGCTACTTTGTCTTATATTCATAAGTTTTGCAGTCACTACTTCTACTGACTCACCTTTTACGGTGGTGCGTAGTTTGGTACTGATTTCCGCAATTGTATTTTCATTGTCAATTAAATTTCTCGAATTTCCTTTAAGTTTAGTCTTAATTAAGGAAATGGCTATTGCCTCATGTTCGCCTTTTATCGCATCAACCAGAGTTAGTGCGTCAAGGAATGAACGTAAATTTTCTGATTTGCCATCAAAATCAGGTATAAGCTTTGTTGCTGTATTTATAAATTCTACTACTGTCTGTGTCATTGTGGGAGTTTGTATAATTTCTTGTAGTGGTGTAAATGATATTTCCTCGTGTAGTGACGTTGGGATATCTATTGTAATTCCTTTTCTTGAGGCTACCGTTATGAGTTTTTCCCTAATGTCAAGAAAGAATGTTTCAGCTGCTACTTTATGACCTTGTGTAAGTCTATTATAGTTGACATTTAGAAAAACTCTAAGTTTTTCAAGTGTGCTGACTAGGTTATTGATATGTTTATTAAGTGTCTCTGTCTTTATTTCCCTGTCGTTGTTTAGGCACTTATGTGTTTTCAAAAATTCCTCTCTAATTTGTCTAGCTTTAATTAATATTTGGTTCCAGTCCATTACCTTTGGTTGAACCTTTTATTGTAACAGTGGGTAATAAATTTGTTAGACTTGGTCTAAATCATTGCTTCTACTGGCTGTATATTTTTTTTTAAGCACCTATTGTGCATTCTATACAATTTAAAGCAAATATTTGCTGCTAAAAGGGCTACTATTACAAATAACAAGATGGTTATAACTTCCAAGTCGGGGGACGTTACGTCAACTTTGTTGATAACATTTGCAGTAGAGTCTACTGTTTTTACGTCTAATAGACCCATTTTAGGCCAAGTTTGTAGTATTTGTATTGGTATGTCCAGTTTTAAATTTTTCTAATTGTCTCCTATCATATAAGTTTTTTAAAAATTTTATGTAACTATAACCCTCTTTTTTTTTAATTAATTCTTATTTTAGTAAATTTTTAATTAACATTTATTTATTTTTATTGATAAAATTTTGGCTTAATATTTAAAAAAAAAGTCATAAATTTTTTTTTTTTTTTTTAAAAAAGTAAGATTGAAAGTAACTTAAGAAATGTATTGTATATGTATATAAAAAAAAATATTTTTGCCACGAGCGAAAATTCGCTTACTGGCCCTATGAGTGCGGATTGACGCACATCAGTTTTTGTTTGCTTATAATATAATTTATATTTTTTATTTTTTTTTTTTTTTAATTTTGCTTTCTATTTACTAAATACTGCTCCATCAGGAATTCTACCTCTGAGATTCTACTCCATATTTTAGTTGCTGCATCCCATGGTGGTGGCGGCCTTGTATTAACTGTTCTTAGTAGGATTGCCTTCTCCCGTTTTAGTTTTTGCATGTAACCTCCTCTTCTTTTTGGCTTTTGTGCTTTTGGAATGGTAATTTCATCTGTTGTCTTTCTGCTGGTTCTTTTTCTATATTCCTCGAGAGTTATTGGTTGTGGTCCTTCCTTCATCACGCAGCTGACGGATCTTTGTGGCTGATCCACGTCAGGACAAATTAGTTTTAAGCTGACTGTCCGCCAGGCTTTTTTGTTTGATGATTGATTGATCTTTTTTTTTTTTTTTTTTGGCTGATCAAGTCAAAGTGCTTTTTAGTGCATAATTTTTAAGCACAAAATTTTAAAAATGTTGCAATTTAAGCAAACCAGGATTCAGGCTGATCTGTGCAGCAAAGCACTAGACTGCCACTGTGCAATTCAAATCTAAGCACCGGTTGGCAGGATAGCTTTTTTGCAAATTAATTTTCGCAAAAAGCTGGCAGGATCGCAGTGTATCGAATGAAACAATTCATTTATGTTTTAATTGTATTGAATTTATTTTACTGAGCAACTCAATGTCGCTTTGTAGGTTCTTTTACAATTGAATTCTTAGCCTAACATATTGGGGTATTTATGGGAAATAATTGCTGCATAAGCATAAATAATATTATAAATAAATTGAAGCTTAAAGTTAGTTTGTTTGACGGTTTGGCACGTGTGCCTGACAATGCGTGAGTTCTATATTCAAAATATTCAAACAACTGAAATATGAAACCCTTGTTGTTATGAATAAATTAAATAATTATAAACGTTAAGCATGGTCGACTTTCAGTTACACTACACCTCCTTTTTTAAAAGAATGCTCATACAGAGTTTATTGTATGAACATTCCTATTTAGCAAGTAATTAAATATAATAATAGTTTATAAATTTATTTAAACTTAAAAAAAAATAGTTTTAATGATTATATATCTTAATTCTATTTTTATGTACAATTTGGGTTTTTCCCGTTTTCTTATCAGTTATAGTTACATTATTTTTAAAATCTATATTATTAATTTTAAATGGTCCTTTGTATTGTGGGTCCAATTTGTGCCCTGATTCGTTTTTTAGCAAAACTAAATCACCTATTTTAAAGTTATAATCTAAAACTTTTTTATCAAAATAAGATTTTTGTACTATCTTAGCTTGTTCTATCATATCCCTTGCTCTTTTATGAGATATTTCTAACCTAAATCTAATTTCCTTAGCGTAATTATCTAAATTATAAAGTGGGCTTATTTTGTCAACCTGATCAAATTGTTGAAACCCATTTGGAAGTTTTCCAAAAACTAACTCGTATGGACAATAGTCATGTACAGTTGATGGTGTTGTATTAAAGCAGTATGTAAAATACTTAAGCCACTCATCCCAATCACTTTTGTCTATCGATACATATGACCTTACATATTGGTTAAACGCTTTATGTGATTTCTCGACCGTCCCTAACGTCTGGTGGTGGTGGGCGGTTGATGTTAGTTTTTCTATATTTAAAAGTTTGCATATTTCTTCTAAAAGTGAATTTTTATATTCCGTGCCCATGTCCGATATGAACGTCTTCATAGGACCGTAGACGAGAATAAAATTATCAAAAATTGCCTTAGCTATAGTTTTTGCATTTTTATCTTTAGTTGGTATTGTCACTAAATATTTAGTCATGTCGCATATTATCGTGACTGCGTATGCATTTCCATTTTCTGACAATGGTAGCGGGCCGATTGTGTCAACGAATATTGTATCAAATGCCTTGTTTGGTGTTGGCGTCAAAGTCATTGGACTTTTTATATGTTTTGTGACTTTGGTTATTTGACACTTATGACAATTCTTAACATATTTCGTGATTGTTTTAGTCATGTGTTTCCAGTAATAGTATCTTTTTATTTTATTCAAGGTTCTTGAAATGCCACAATGACCTCCTTCTGCCGGGTCATCATGATATCTTTTTAATATACTTTCAATTGTTTTTGCATCTTTATAATTTATTTGGGTCACCTCATTCAGTAGCGCTACTTTCATTTTAATTAATTTCTTATTGCCCATTTCTTTAAATTCATTTATAGAGACAAATTCGAAAATTTTCTCACTAGGTGCCACTTGTAATTTGTCAATTGAATGCTTATCGGCCACATCATCGAGCCTAGAGAAAAATTGACCTAAGTCAAATTTCCCTTTAACAAACAAATCATTGATTTGTATATATGTTTTAATAGATTTACCCCGTTTGATATAGCATGTCTTGGGTGTAATCTTTAATTTATAGTATTTTCTCACGTCAGTGTTATTAATAGGTACATATATACTGGGCTTATCATATGTATTAGATTGATGCGTTTTAATTGTGTTTTGATTAAGAGAACTTTTGTTTGTCATAGATCTTGTTTGCATTTTGTATAAAGTGTTATTTTTAACATTTATATCTTTTAAATCGTCAATTGTAATGCGTGATAATGCATCCGCAACATAGTTGTCTTTTCCCCTAAGGTACTCTACCACAAAGTCATATTCTTCAAGATCAAGTCTCATTCTAGTTAGTTTTGAGCTAGGGTTTTTCATTGAAAATAGGTAAGATAGTGGCCTATGATCTGATCTTACCAGAAAATTTGTTCCGTAAATGTATGGTTTAAAATATGTTATTGCCCAATGTATGGCGGTTAATTCTTGTTCAATTGTTGACTTATTGCTTTCTCCTTTTGTGAAAGTTCTAGATGCATATGCCACCGGCAATTGTTTTCCCTCATATTCTTGTGTTAGTACAGCACCACATGCGTGTTTGCTTGCGTCAGTAGTTATACAAAATTGTTTGCTGAAATCTGGGTACTGTAACAATGTAGGACTTATCAATGCCTTTTTAAGGTGCTCGAAAGCATTATTACATTCTAGTGTCCACTGAAAAGGTACTCCTTTCTTTGACAATCTAGTGAGATGTCTTGAGTATTCAGAGAAATTTTTTATAAACCTCCTGTAGTAGTTACAGAATGCTACAAATCTTTTCGCACTATCTGCATCTGTAGGTATAGGGTAATTTTTAATTACTGAAAATTTTTTGTCGTCGGGGAGTATGCCTTTGTCAGTGCACTTATGTCCTAAATAAGTCACCTCGCGCATAAAAAATGAACATTTTTCAGGATGTAATTTTAAGTTGTGCTTGCGACATAGTTCAAAAACATCCGATAGGTTTGATAGCATGTGTTTCTCAGAGCAACCCAGGACTACCAGGTCGTCCATATAGAGAAATGCTTGTTCTGGTTTTAAACCGCTAAACGCAATTGTCATCATTCTTTGAAATGAATTAGGGGCAATTTTTAATCCGTATGGGAGTCTAGAAAACCTGTAGGATCCATTATTTGTAGAAAAGGATGTCAGGTCTCGTGAATTTGTTTCTAGTGGTATTTGATGGAATCCTGACATAAGATCCAAACAAGAAAAATATTTAGCTCGACCTAATTGGTCTAGGATGTCATCTATTCTTGGCAGTGGGAATTTATCCGCTATTAATTTTTTGTTAATCTGCCTGTAATCTATTACTAACCTCCATCTTTTTTCAATTGAATTTGGAAGTGATTTTTTCTGAACTAATAAAATAGGACTATTATATTCGGAACATGATGGCTCTATTATTCCATCTTTTAACATTTTTGAGACTTGTCTTTCAATTTCTTCTTTGTGAGTGTGTGGTATACGGTAGTTCTTAATGTATACTGGGTCTGTATCTTTTGTCCTTAACTTTTGTGTGTAAAAATTGTTTGATGTGATTGCTTCTGTTTCTAATCCAAAAATATCGCTGTACCTAGAACATAATTCCGTTAACGTTTTTTCAAATAGTTTTGGAAAATTTTTCTTTAGTGTATCTAAAATTTTATTTTTTCTTTCTGTTTTGTTTTGATCACTTGAAATTATGTTATAGTCAGTGAGATTTTCTGATTGAATTCTGTTTAGTTTTACCGTTACTGGTCTGTCATTTGTGTTAAGAATTCGTATGAATGCATTTTCAGATTTTACCAAGGTACTTGCAATGAATATACCTGTTTGTATTTCTTGATTAGGTATCAGTACTTCTTGAAAAGGAGTAGAAAGTTTCACCCTTCTTATAACTTCTGACATAGCTGGGAGTGTTATGTCATCGTTACAAGTAGTTATAATTGGTATTTCAATGTGCATTTGGAATTTTTCTGGTCTGAGGGTTAGGAAATCTTGATTCTCATTGAATTCAAGTAGACAATTGTATTTTTTCATAAAGTCCATTCCAATAATGCCATCACACGGTATTGGGAAATCGTTTTGTACTACATGAAACTCGTGTGGTATTAAGTAATTTTTAAACTTTAAATCGAAAAATGTTGTGCCTATTGAATTGATTTTTCCTTGTCCAATGCCTTGTAGTGTTGTAATGTGTTTTTTGTTTATGTGTTTAAGTGTATCTTGGTCATGTTTAATTATGGAAATGTCTGCTCCTGTGTCAACTAGTAGTGTTATGGCGGTGTTAGTGTGAGCAATTCTGACTTGTATGTAAATGCTAAAGTTAAGGTTAAGATTGTATATTTTGTAGTCCGAGTTTATCTTAGGGGAATGTCCGGGTTTTCCGAACTATTGTTGTCTGTTTGGGTCATTCTAATATTCCTTGTATTACCTCGGTAGGTATTTCTGTTTTGACCTCTATTATTATAGTTATTTCCACTATAATTGCTGTTTTGGCCATTGTGGTTTCTTTGAACATTGGTTCTATTTTGAAACCTTCTTCCAAAATTTCTATTGTTTTGGAATCTGTTGCCAAATTGTCTTTGTCGGTAGTGCAAAATGGTATTTTGTTGGCCTGTAGCTTCTGTACAACTTCCAACAAATTTGCTTATTACTTCATTCATGTCAGTAAACTGACCTGCTTCCATAATAAGTTTGACTTTTTCTAATGTGCAATTTTTAGTTATTGCCCTTACGGCTGCTTGTGTCGCATATTTACTTGCCAAATTTAAGTTTATGCCGTCATTTATATATGCATTTTCTAATGATTTTGTTAGTGTTTCTATTTCATTGCAGTAATTTGTAGCAGTTTTGCTACTTTGTCTTATATTCATAAGTTTTGCAGTCACTACTTCTACTGACTCACCTTTTACGGTGGTGCGTAGTTTGGTACTGATTTCCGCAATTGTATTTTCATTGTCAATTAAATTTCTCGAATTTCCTTTAAGTTTAGTCTTAATTAAGGAAATGGCTATTGCCTCATGTTCGCCTTTTATCGCATCAACCAGAGTTAGTGCGTCAAGGAATGAACGTAAATTTTCTGATTTGCCATCAAAATCAGGTATAAGCTTTGTTGCTGTATTTATAAATTCTACTACTGTCTGTGTCATTGTGGGAGTTTGTATAATTTCTTGTAGTGGTGTAAATGATATTTCCTCGTGTAGTGACGTTGGGATATCTATTGTAATTCCTTTTCTTGAGGCTACCGTTATGAGTTTTTCCCTAATGTCAAGAAAGAATGTTTCAGCTGCTACTTTATGACCTTGTGTAAGTCTATTATAGTTGACATTTAGAAAAACTCTAAGTTTTTCAAGTGTGCTGACTAGGTTATTGATATGTTTATTAAGTGTCTCTGTCTTTATTTCCCTGTCGTTGTTTAGGCACTTATGTGTTTTCAAAAATTCCTCTCTAATTTGTCTAGCTTTAATTAATATTTGGTTCCAGTCCATTACCTTTGGTTGAACCTTTTATTGTAACAGTGGGTAATAAATTTGTTAGACTTGGTCTAAATCATTGCTTCTACTGGCTGTATATTTTTTTTTAAGCACCTATTGTGCATTCTATACAATTTAAAGCAAATATTTGCTGCTAAAAGGGCTACTATTACAAATAACAAGATGGTTATAACTTCCAAGTCGGGGGACGTTACGTCAACTTTGTTGATAACATTTGCAGTAGAGTCTACTGTTTTTACGTCTAATAGACCCATTTTAGGCCAAGTTTGTAGTATTTGTATTGGTATGTCCAGTTTTAAATTTTTCTAATTGTCTCCTATCATATAAGTTTTTTAAAAATTTTATGTAACTATAACCCTCTTTTTTTTAATTAATTCTTATTTTAGTAAATTTTTAATTAACATTTATTTATTTTTATTGATAAAATTTTGGCTTAATATTTAAAAAAAAAAGTCATAAAAAATTTTTTTTTTTTTTTTAAAAAGTAAGATTGAAAGTAACTTAAGAAATGTATTGTATATGTATATAAAAAAAAATATTTTTGCCACGAGCGAAAATTCGCTTACTGGCCCTATGAGTGCGGATTGACGCACATCAGTTTTTGTTTGCTTATAATATAATTTATATTTTTTATTATTTTTTTTTTTAATTTTGCTTTCTATTTACTAAATACTGCTCCATCAGGAATTCTACCTCTGAGATTCTACTCCATATTTTAGTTGCTGCATCCCATGGTGGTGGCGGCCTTGTATTAACTGTTCTTAGTAGGATTGCCTTCTCCCGTTTTAGTTTTTGCATGTAACCTCCTCTTCTTTTTGGCTTTTGTGCTTTTGGAATGGTAATTTCATCTGTTGTCTTTCTGCTGGTTCTTTTTCTATATTCCTCGAGAGTTATTGGTTGTGGTCCTTCCTTCATCACGCAGCTGACGGATCTTTGTGGCTGATCCACGTCAGGACAAATTAGTTTTAAGCTGACTGTCCGTCAGGCTTTTTTGTTTGATGATTGATTGATCTTTCTTTTTTTTTTTTTTGGCTGATCAAGTCAAAGTGCTTTTTAGTGCATAATTTTTAAGCACAAAATTTTAAAAATGTTGCAATTTAAGCAAACCAGGATTCAGGCTGATCTGTGCAGCAAAGCACTAGACTGCCACTGTGCAATTCAAATCTAAGCACCGGTTGGCAGGATAGCTTTTTTGCAAATTAATTTTCGCAAAAAGCTGGCAGGATCGCCATGTATCGAATGAAACAATTCATTTATGTTTTAATTGTATTGAATTTATTTTACTGAGCAACTCAATGTCGCTTTGTAGGTTCTTTTACAATTGAATTCTTAGCCTAACATATTGGGGTATTTATGGGAAATAATTGCTGCATAAGCATAAATAATATTATAAATAAATTGAAGCTTAAAGTTAGTTTGTTTGACGGTTTGGCACGTGTGCCTGACAATGCGTGAGTTCTATATTCAAAATATTCAAACAACTGAAATATGAAACCCCTGTTGTTATGAATAAATTAAATAATTATAAACGTTAAGCATGGTCGACTTTCAGTTACACTACACAGCTACGATTTTGATCTCGATGGATTTTGAACCTAAAAATGATGTAGAGAAAAGCTGTGAAGCCGATTTTACTGCCGATTTCGAAATTAGGAATTTTTTTTCCAATCTAAAAATATGTTTTACAATTTATAAGGAATGTACTACAAAACAATTAAAGAAACTAACGAATAAGAAATTAATTCGTACTGTCGACCGGAGCAAACGTGCCTTCGATATTTAAAAATTTTTTAACATCGCTAAATTTACCACACATTCAACAATCTTCTAAACGTCTGCATCATTATACTCTCAAACTTGCCTTGGATTAAAATTCATTCATAAATTCCCAATTTTGCGTCCAGTATTGATAATGCTAACCCAGTTATTAAGAAGGGCCCACCGTCTGTCTACGACAAATTTATTGCCTTATTCACAGAAAATGTTTTTATTGCAGGTCTTGGAACTTTTGGCACCTGCGAATTTACGATTTTTTATTCAAATTAGCGCGGCTATATGAAGGCTAATTAAATACAGGGAAATACATAGGCTTCAAATTGCATTTCAAAAAAGACTGCGTTGGTTGGGATTAAAAATGTTTAAGCTTTTAAATAAATTTGAATAAATTGTAAAACATCGGAAACCATCGATATGTATATCGATGTCTTTCTGCCGATGTATTTTAGCATCGACATTTCTCCCAAAATTTTCATGGTGGAAACGAAAAGTGTTTTTGTTGACCATCTGCACGAAGGCAGAAACATTCGTATAATTGAACGTCGATTACACTTATATTTCATTTACCCAAGTGCATGATTTGGAATCAGTCATATGAAGGTGTTTACACTGTTTGATTCGCATTTCCTTTGACATCATCAATTGAAAAGGGAAAACAAAAACAAAATGAATGTAAACAAATACTGCATTCCTTATATTTTTTAACACGTTTTGGATAGAAAAGAGGCAATTATTCTTTCATTAAATAAAAAATTTGCATAGTTATGTATAAATTAATAATTCGTATACCCAAATATTAAAGGTCTGCATCGGAATTCAGTTTGCTTCACTGTGAAGTTTTCTTTAAATATGTAAACTACTCATACTCTAACAAAAAGGGTATGGAAGGAAGAGAAGTGAAGATATTGAGCGCTGTATACATAAAAAAAGTACTCAAACAAATTATGTTCCGAAAAAAAGCAACATAAAGCGGCAGTCCCATGCTGTTAAACTTCCACAAAAAAGATGTTCCTTCACAAGTATTTTTTGAGTATTGTTGAAAGTTTTCGTTTAATGCTATATAATAGGGGTGGGCAAGACCGAGGCCGAAAAGAGCCACACGTAAATTCTAAATGCTACAAAGAGCCAGGAAAAAAAAATTTATTTTTAAATAAAACTATTATTAGAAATGAAAAACTTTAATTTTATTAATATTATTTATAGATATTAAAGAAAATTCAAAAGATCCCTTTGGCCAAATTTTCAAAATCTGGGTTTACGTCAGTAAAAGGCGTTCGTAACAGTTCTATTAAATGATGGTTGGTCAATAGGTACGTTCGTTTAAATATCCAGTAAAAAATGTCCATCAACAAAATTCCGACAAAATGTCATCTGTTCTCTCACAAGAGAAAAATATCCAAAATACTAGACGAGCAGAAAATTTGCAGAAACTTGCAAGTTAGACGAACATCTGATACAAATTTTCTTTACATTCAAAAGTATAAAAATGAAAACGTAAGAAAACAAATTCCGAAGTCTTATCCTGACACACTTCACTGACTAAACGAATAATAACTTACTTCCTACAAGTTTAATCAGTCACATTTTACTATTTTAACTTCCAACCAGCTGTTTTTGATCAGCTGTTTTCTTGTTGGCAAATTGCAGTTGGCACAAATTTTTTCCAGCAGAAACCAGCAGCTTTCTCTCAAAATCAAGCGTCATTTTGCTCTCTCAATTTCCCCTACTGTGCAAGTTTTTTGCGTACGCTNATTATAAAATATTGTGGTTCAAGAAAAATTTCCGACAGAATGAAATTTTTTTCTTGTGCTGACAAATTACTACAAACCATGATAAAAACATTACAAGGTAAAATCATTGAGAGGCAGTCTGACGTTTGCCAACATTTTTAATCTCTCATTTTTAATCTCAAACAACAACAACTGTGAGNAGGTACGCGAATGCAACTAATTGTGAACGGTATTTTGACTTTAAGAATTTCATTGTAGAGTACAAAGACTCAGAGTTATACGTATATACGAGCATTGAAAATATACGGAACGCAGCTGTTTTCAACAGCGGATATTTTAAATCTGGTACTTGTTGCCGGAATTCAAGCAATAACAAAGCTTTATGTTGCATTTCCAGTACCTTATCTTCCTTTCATTCCAAAAACTCCAACTGTTCTTTGCTTTTTTTAAAAAGGAGTATTGTAAATTCATCCTCAATTATGATACATAAAAAAGGGTTTATGAAGTATGTAAACGTACATTTAAATAATTTCAAATCGGCAAATCTTTTTTCAAAATCTGTCTTTAAATCATGTGCAATATTTTTTCTAGCCATGGAAAATGATGAAATATTCTTTTTTTGAGATCATAAATAAAAAGACATAATTTAGCTTCAAAACTTAAAATAATTTGCTACAAATCAAAAAGATTTTTATTCCTATACTCCTTGTAATAGAGACAAATTCAAGTTTTGCAAGTGTTCCATCATATCGGTAAAGAACATTAAGTCACAAAGCAAATTTTCATTCTGCAATTGTGGATAATTTACGATCTCAATTTGCGTATGTGTATATAAAAAGAATACAATAAAAAAAAACAACACAAAGGAAAAGAATGTCCAGCAAAGAAATATGTAAAAAGTAAAAAGAGCCAAAATGTTCTAAGCAAAGAGAAAGTAAAAAAAGCCGCACTTTGCTAAGCAAAGAGCCGAATTTGGCTCAAAGAGCCGCGATTGCCCACCGTTGCTATATAATGTTAATGTTAGGGATGACTCTTATGTTAAATAATAAACGATGGGGTAACAATGTGGGCACTCCGAATATGGAGCCAACAGCATATTTTTATAAAGAAAGTGAATTCATTTTATACAAAGAACCAATTTTTAATTTTACAAAACGATATTTTCATTTTCCAATACCAGGCTCTCATACATATTAAGTAGCAACCCAGCCAGCAAAATCATCGTAAACGAACTCGAAACTGGATATTTTCTCGAAGAAAAACCGACTAAAAATGTCGTTTATAATAGCCGTTGACGATTTGTTTACGAGTATTTTTTCGATTGAAATTGTCGATCGCCTACGAACAGTCGTAAACGGATCGAAAAAGCATTCGTATGTGAATAATATATATTATAAAATATTGTGGTTCAAGAAAAATTTCCGACAGAATGAAATTTTTTTCTTGTGCTGACAAATTACTACAAACCATGATAAAAACATTACAAGGTAAAATCATTGAGAGGCAGTCTGACGTTTGCCAACATTTTTAATCTCTCATTTTTAATCTCAAACAACAACAACTGTGAGCAACTTCATTTTTTTATTTTCAATTTTATATGATTTTAAAATGTTTGCAAACGTCAGAAAAAAATCATGGTCGACGAATTGAGAGAATGGTTTTACCTTCTAATGTTTTTATCATGCTACAAGCCTCTTTTATTTTGTTTTTGTTTTATCGTTTACGAGCCTTTCTCTAACTTTTGGCCGATCGAGAATCCCTCGTGAAGCATAATGTTCGTGAAATGTACGTTTTCTTACTGGCTGGGAAGCTTTCCATACGCATACATTTGTTTGTATCACTTTTT